TTTAAAAAAAAAAAAAAAAAAAAAAAAAGAAAGTATTTTCCTGTCCTTAAAAAAGAATGGAAAACAAAAAAAGATTGAAAGACAGAAGCTTTGATCCCAATCTCCCAAAGGGGCGAGTGGTTGAGCACGGAGATGTACACGCTGTGACACACCTGGGGGCCGTTACCAGCAGGTTGGACAAAGAGTCCAAGACTCCAGTCACGATCAGGGAGGAGGCGGTTAGGAAAGTGAGAGTAATGGAGACAGAAGACTTTACCATGTTTGAGCCCACATCTTCCATAGAGGATTTAGAGTTTTGATTCTGTAGAATAGGGATGGAATATGAGGAGTGGGACGTTGAAAGTGGCTGGAGTCTAGAAGAAAAATAAATGTCCTGGAATATACGACGCGTTTCGGATATAACCTTGCCAATTGCAAGAAACGTTAGCTAAGCGCTGAACAAAATGGGTCTGGACTCTGGAGTCTATGGACCGGACCAGAGTCCCAACAATACCATGGGACAGCCTGGGAAGGTCAGATGCCCAGGCTGTTCGATGGTATTGTTGGGATTCTGGTCCGGTCCCTTTTCTTCTTCGGGTACTGTTGGGATTCATGGAATCAATGGTTGATCATGCATCTGGCCTTGCCGGTAAATGTCTTGCTCAACGTCCGTAGGAGTCAACAACACAGGGGTATGAGCAAAATGAGAAATGTGCAGTCTGCACAGAAGGAGTAACAGAAACGGTGGAACATTGCCTACTTATATGTCACGAAGTACAGGCAGTTTGGGAAATTGCCAAGTCCATATGGGGGAAGGTGGCAAGTAAGCAGTTTCCGCAACTTTCCGGTGGGCACAATCCAGCTGCTGATGGAAACGGCTTCACCGTATTCTAGGGAGGAGAAAAGAAGATATATAATGTGCGAAGGCAGGATGCCTTATGGACCATATGGAAGAGGAGATGTCAATACACAATAGAGAATAGGCCAATGCGCAGACAAGAAGCAAGAACAATCATCCTCAACCTACTTGAGACAGACATCCGGGCACAATGGAAGAGAACAAGACAGCACATACAACAAGATATGGGGGCAGCCCAGGAAAAAATCAAAAGAGATTCGTCCAAACGACTCTGTGTCAGGGGAAGGTGGCAGCGATAGAAGGGACAAGGATATATTCCAATGGGGAAGACAGGGGGAGGGAGTGGAGAATACGGAGGGCAGAGAAGCCCATCAGGGGGAGACAAGGAACCTTTCCATTCCTACACCGTGAAGCAGGCTACGAGTAGACAAGCTTCTAGACGGAGGGAGGAATCAGTAGAGGGAGGAGGGGAAGACACCGAGGGAGTCTAGGAACCAGTGGACATGGGATTAGAGATCAGGATGTATTAAAGGAAATGGAAGTTAGGGTTTAGGGCTTAGGGGGCAAGGACGAGGGAGTTAAGTTAGATCAGGATTTGTTAAAGGAAATGGAAGTTAGGGTTTAAGGTTTAGGGGCAAGGACGAGGGAGTTAAGTTAACAAGAAATGGTTCGGATGCAAACAAGGGAGGGTCAAGAGAGTGTCCTGGTTAAGGGACGCAAGATAAGGGCAAGGCGGGAAGGTAGACAGGAGAGGGTGGCAGGTAGGCAGAACAAGGTAAACGGAAATGCAAGGGGGCTATTTAAATTTTAAACAGAACCAGGTGAAGTAAGGGGTAAGACAGGAGGACTAGGGCTTAGGATTTAAGCTTAGGAGCAGGAATTACAGGTTTAGCGAAGTGTGGTACTTTGGTCCGGGTCCCAGAGGGTCTCGTCAAAAGCATAACACTGGGTAAAGTTCCCAGGTCTGGTCTTCATGTGGTCGGCCCCTCTTCCAGGATTTTATCCACGTCAAATGGATCATCAAATTAACCCTCCAGGGAAACTTCCCCTGGATACAATTAGCACTAAACCACATTAGGGGACTGGCCCCCTTCAAGTCACCCCCCAACATGACAATCCTCTTTTGGAATCTATAGCAAACAGTGGCCCCTTCCAAGAGACAAAAGAGCCAAGAAAGATGAACAAAATCAAGAAAGGGATGAAGATGAAGAAACAACCAAAACCTTTTGGGAGCAACTTATTCACACGTAGTGACGTTGAGGAAAATATTCGTTGACAACAAGATCAGCCAAAGAGAAGAGATGAAGTTCTCAGACAACCAATATTTGGCAACCCCTCGATCCACGACAAGAATGGAGACAGTTTTCCACTCACTATATCAAACTCCAAATGGGGCCTCTGGTTAGAAAAAGGTGTGGCAAATCCTCCATCTGTGGACCGAAACTACGACAATCCCAGGGCTCAGGCATCCGGCAGTACAACTACCATCCAGCTACTCAGAGGCTCACAGACAGGGATAGAGGGTTTAGGCCAGGGCGTACCCAGGTTTTATGGTTTAGGGTTTAGGGTCTTAGCGGAATCAACCACAAACAGACGGTGCAGGACTATCCAGAACCAGTTTTTTAGAATCTTCCTTGGTAGGTTACTTGCTAGAGAAAGAAATAGTACTTAGAGAAATCTGAGGTAATTCAGAGGTAGCAACTGGGGCCACAGAGCACCAGGCCTATGAAGCATATCAGACAGTGAGCAGCTGAGAGGCGCACAGCACTGACAAGCCTAAACAGTAGGACAGGAACAACCTAAGGGAAGACGAGTAGGGATACGAGTCAGGGAGCATCTACACTGTAGTAACAGGCTAACTTAGGCAGGGGAGCGGGGAGCTAAATCCTTCCAGAATGGAAGCAATCAATGCCAGCCACTCGGGTCTCCCAACCAAAATGAGGGGAAGCGTCTCAAGTGTGTTGTAATGAGCAGTCATGACGTGCCGGTGGAATAGGAACCGGACTGATGCTCCCCAAAATGGAAAAGGAGCCAGAACCGTAAGGCTCTTTTCTTTTTTTCCCCCTCTTGGTTCTCCCACAAAATCGAAAGACCGGAAAAAAATAAAAGTTCATGATGATAGATTGTTTCGTCGGACTGGCACCGACTCATCAGGAGGCTGAACCCTCGACAATCTGCGGAATCTCCGTGTTTGATGGTTTGGGTCATGAACTCTTGGACCCATGTTGAAGGCAGACTGTCCCCAACCAGTACATAGCCGCAGGCAGCAACTCTGCAAAGCACCAGGCAACGCTGCCGAGGCAACACGACTGCACAACGCCAAAAACAACTGTAAGGAATGACACGGCAAACGGACGAGCAGCACAGCAGCCGCACAGTGAAGCACAAGGCAACACCAACACAGCAGCCACACCAGACGGCACACAAGCAAGGAACGTGGAAGGCACGCAGATGAGCAGCAAGGCCGCAACGCAGCAAAGCACAGGGCAACACCAACACTGCAGCCACACCGCACAGTGAGCACAGCAGCTTGCCAAGGAGGATACGCGACACAACCGGGATGGGCAGCAAGCGGCGGAGCGAGGACAAGGCAGTCTACAACACGGAGCAAAGCAGCAGATCACCTACTCACATCACGAGTGAACCCCACAGACTGTTGGTTCCCATCAACCCGCTGAGCCAGGGAGTCACTCAGACAAACATCGTCATCACCCGTAGAAAACCCAGACATCCTGAACTGAGCGGCCCCCCTCAGAGTGTTGTAGGCACTCCAAACGAGGAATGACTGACTATTTGGCACAGCCTAAGGGTGCACAGCAGGACACACAAAAAGTACTTGGTAATTTTTCTTTTACCAGGAAGACAGACTGAAAAGAAAATTTACCAGGAAGACAGACTGAAAAAAACAAGAAGAATGACTCACAGAAATAGAAGGACAGACATAAAACTGATTGTGTGTGTGTGTGTGTGTGTGTGTGTGTGTGTGTGTGTGTGTGTGTGTGTGTGTGTGTGTGATCCTTGCGCAGGGGCCATGCTAATCTTCTCTGTATCGTTCCAATTTTAACGGATGTCCAGGAGGACCGTGTGTGTGTGTGTGTGTGTGTGTGTGTGTTTTATTTGGACTATTTCTTGATTTATGTGTGTCATTCTCATGCACGGGCCATGCTAATCTTCTCTGTATCGTTCCAATTTTAATGGATGGCCAAAAGGACATTCTTTGCCAATGTCGACTGTGATTGCCTGTGACATTTTGTGGGATGACAACAGCATCTTTGTCTGTTGATTGCCACCCGGTCTTGCTCTGTGGTGTTATTTCTATTTCAGACACAAGCTGAAGGCTTCATTGTTGGGATTGTTGAAGAAAAGAAGAGTGCACCTGCTGCAAACGTGGATACGAGGGTGGAGAGCAGCAGTGGCTTTGAAGGAAGAACGACAGACACAAAATAACATGGGTGCAGATTATCATCGAAAACATCTTGTTCAGAGGGCATACCTAGCATGGCTGGAGTTTGTGGGGGAAAAGAAACAGTGGAGGAGTGCCTTGAAGAAGGCATTGTTATACAGGAGGCGGCAGTTGTCGCAATTGGTAATGGACCTGTGGCAGGAGAGTGTAGGTTATGTCCAACTGAAGCGGCAACGGTGGGATCTAGCTGGATTTCACAGGAGAACGCGAATGATGACAGCAGTGATGAATGGCTGGATAGATTTCATCTGTATGGTGAAGCGAACGCGAGAGCTTCGTCTGCGTGCAGCAAGATTTTGGAGATGTTGGCTGGTGAACTTGGCTATGAGGGCGTGGAAGTGGCAGTTGGCCCGGTTGAAGCAGAAGAGGGCTGACCTTCAGCATGTGCAGCACTGGAAGACTAGGCGCATGACGCAGTCGGTGATGACTTCCTGGGGGGCTAGGATCGCGAAATCGCGATTCAAACGGACACAGCGTAGGAATTGTGGGACGTTTAGGAGGAGGAAGTTGTTGGCGAAATCCCTGGCTGGATGGCAAATGGATGCGGAGGTGAAGAGGGCCACTTCAGAGATCATGAGATTGATTGCATGGAGATGCTGCCGTGCCGTGGCAATTAGACTTCTTGCAGAGTGGAAGGCACTTGTCCACAACAACCGAAGACTGACGGTTGCAGCATTGAAGGTCGAGGATGGAAGTAGACATCGGGCGAAGAGAACGGCATTGGATGCGTGGAAACGTTACGTCGAAGGGCAGCGGAAGAACAGGCAGCTGAGGGAAACAGCAGCAGCATGCCTAGGGACAAGAACGAAGAGGATGAGTTTGGGTGCTCTTGCAAGCAACCTGCGCAGAGGGAGGAGGAAGAAATTGGCTATGGCGGTTGGGAGGAAAGCCATGGAGAAGAAAGCCCTGCGTTTCTGGCAGGTATGGGCAACGTTCCAGGCTCGGGAAAGAGCAAAGATATGGACTTTGCTGAAAAAGGTCCTGGTGAGGGAGAAAGCCAACATTTTCCGTGAATGGCGCGAGCTCATGAAGGTGCACTCTCGAGACCGGGCTGTTCTCAAATTATTGGGCCAGAAGGCGAAGGATCGAGCGCTGAGACAGGCAACTGAAGAGTGGAGGAATCGGGTTGCTTTGGAGAGAAAGAGGAGGGAATGGATGCTCCGGGCAGGAAAGAATCGCCAATTGACGTTAAGGAGGGAGGTGATGATGGCCTGGCATGATGAAACTCGTGAGCGACACCATCTTCGTCAGTTGATGAACCATCTGGCAGACTTCTACAGACGTGCTGAGCTGCGTAATGCCTTTGATGCCTGGCTTTGCTGGGCGTCATTGATGCGCAAACTCCACGAAATGGAGGAGAAGAGACACCGTGATGCTGTCCGAATGTTCCTGCAGGAATGGCAGATGTTAACAAGGCAGAGACGATCCCTAAACGAACGGATCACACGCCTCGTTGGTCGTCGACAGACATCCACTCTTTCAAGAGCTATGAAGTCATGGTTGGACGTCTCTCTCACCAAAATGGCGATGAAAGAGAGAATTGCTATCCTAGCCGAGGTGATCAAGAGAGCGGACATGGAAAGAGTGCTGGGGGAATGGTTACGGGTCGTTTTGGAGGGAAAGAGAGAGAGAGAAGGGAAGGTTTTGGCGTCTAGGTTCCATGCCCACAAGATCAAACGGTCTGCATTTGATGGGTGGAGAAGGCTTTATCTCCTCTCGAAGGAGGCGTCAAGACGACGGAAGCACGCGCTGGAGTCCCGGTCATGGGGAGCTTGGGCATCGTACACCCGGCGGAAGAGACAAGCATTCATAGGAAGGAGATTGTGGGAAGATCGTACAATAGGGCGTTGTGTGAAAGTGTGGCATCGTTGGGCAAGAGAGAGACGGAGCAGAGAGGATCTGATAGCACGAGCATTGGCTGTCAAACTGGAGAGAGCCGTTGCACAGCTGCTCACCAGCTGGCGAGAATGGGCTCTCCGCAAGAAGGAAAGACAGAAGAGAGAGGCGCAGGCATTCTTGTTCTGGCAAGAGAGAGAGAGGGAACGTGCACTGAAAAGATGGAGTACGAACGTGAAGGAGAAGAAAGAAGAGGAAAGCAAGGAATCAAAGGCAATAAAATTCTGGAAGGTCAGATCAGCTGAGCTGTGTGCTAAGAAGTGGAAACAGTGGTTAATCAAGAGAAAGAGAGAGGAGCAGTTGTTTCGTCGTGCCCTGCAGCTCTGGCAGGAAGCCAAGTTGTCGCGTTCTTTCCGGCTGATGTTGGACTATGCGAGAGGTAGGAAAGAAATAAGAGCAAGGGAGCATGGCATAAGAGATCGCCTGAAGCTAAGGAAGATGCACAGTTGTTTTGAGTGCTGGAGAGAGTGGGGTAGAAGGAGAAGACTCAGGCGGGAGTTGCTGTCTGCAGCCCAAGAATGTTCCAGAGCAACCATTATGCGCCTTTGCATCCAACACTGGCAGAATAGGAAAAATAGATGCCAGATTAGGAAAGTACAACTATCCATGGCAAGGAAACACGCCGTCGAGAGAAGGAAGAAAAGGGTATTGCACGAGTGGCGGGATTGGGCAGTGCAGAAGGAGAGAACATGTCATTTAACGAAAATTGCTTCCCAATTTCTGATACGAACGGAGTCGAGACGAGCCTTTCAATCATGGAAGGCCTTGGCGAGGAGGAGGAAAGACTGGGGGACCAAAGCGGTCATGATGGTCGAGTCATGTAAGAGAAGACTGCTCCTTGATCTCATCAGTGCATGGAAAGGCTGGACAAGCAGAAAGAAGGAGCTCAGTCAGAAAGAGAAGGAAGCTGGAGCGCTTTGGCTGAAAACTTGTGCCAAGGAGGTGCTGGATCGTTGGCTCCACTTTGCAGGAGAGAAACGCAGACGAGATGCGCACAAGGAAGCGGCTATGAAATTCCGTAAGTAAGTATCAAGAAAAGAAAAGAAAAGAAAAGAAAAGAAATTCCATTGAGTAGTTGTGCTACTTTTCAAATCTCAACTGACAAATGTTATTGCTGCATGTCCTGAGCTGTAGTGAAATATATATTTCAATATTTGTATTATTTGACAATTTTGAATTTTGACTATATATATATATATTGTGACGATATATATATGCTTTTTTTTTTCAGTGTCCACTGTCCAGTATCAAATGACAAAAATGTGGGAAGGGTGGGGGAGGGGGGGGCGGGGGGGTGTTGAGAAATCAAATAACAAAAATGTCTCTGACTCTCTGGTACGCAATCAGACCAGGTAAGCGCTGTTTGTAGCCTAGCACAATGATTGTACCCCGATAATCTTTTGGCCTTAGCTCGTAAACACCCTTTCCCTGATGGCATCTGTGTAATTAAAGTTCTTTCACTAGTGCCATCTGTGTAACATTTGCCTCCTTTCTCCAATGGCATGCGTGTAAAGTTTTTGTCCGTTCCCCGATCGCATCTGTGAAAAATTTGAGTGCTTCGCCTGACGGCATGTGTAATTTGCGTCACAACCAACTGCGAGACCGTGGTACTTGTGTATGTCCTCTGTGGCATCCTTGCAAAAAAGAAATGCAGGGTGAAAGATTCTAAAGAACCAACTCAATTCAGATGCAGTACAAGATGCCCAATGTAGGAACATCAGAAGGTTCTGTTTTTGTTTCTTCTGGTAGTGTGAGGGCAATAAGCGTTTGAGCCTTAGAGTTGAACCGCCAATTAGGAACCAGCGGAGCTGAATACGGTTGGAGTAGGGCATATACAGACTAACACACAGTGAGGCTAGAACCTTACGGATATTGCTGAGATAAAGCCAGAACATATATCGATATATAAAAACGTGAAAAGTTATTAAAAACACTACAAAGTTAGTACAAACAGGACAACATGCAGCTGAACATACAGCGTGCAGAGCAAACGGAGTGGGTGCAAAGAACTACAAACAATATATGTCTGTGCTACGTGGAGGGGTAGTACTTTGGGTCGGGCTCTCGTCGGCCAGACAGACCTTGGCCTGATGAGCATTCAACACTCCCTGTGGTAGTTCACCCAGGGATATTCTAGATACGATAGAATGTTGGTCGATTGTATATTTGAACACAGAACAGCTCCCTAGGTTGGATTAGAACCAACGACCCAATAGATAGGGTAAGCAGTGTGTGTAATCTGACTAAGCTTCCCTCCGAATCGGGCATGCAAGATTTCCAAGCACACGGCTCTCCATCAGTTTGGCAAGGCTACTGACTGTTTCCCTTGCATTTTCATCTGGATGGGGGCCATGAAGTGCTCAGGGCGCCTGTAGGAATCTCACCTAGGATCCGAAGTGCCTCATGCAACAAGGCTTGAATGACAGTGCTTCAACTACAGTCTTCACTCAAATAGAACGCCCGGTCATTATCTCTGCATCTGGACTGAAAGTTGGGCCAAATGCAGCTATAATGACTGGGCGTTCTATTCGGGTGAAGACTGTAGGGCTGGGTCTACTGAGCCAGCGCTGGTGCCTGTTGACCGAACTCCATGAAGGTTATCTGGCCTGGTGGATGTTCGCATCGTAGACGCCCGAGTGCTCAGATGGAGGGAGTGGGGGCTTCCTCCAGGGGAAACACAAATATCAAGGAGACAATGAGAGAGGAAAGGGCATCCTGAGGATTAAAAAAAAAAGGAAAAAAAAAGAAAAAGTGTTTTGTAATTTCTGTTTTCTAAAAGAGTATTTTATTTCTGAAAATTTCAAAAGTCTGGACTTTTTCTTTTTTTGTTAACTGATAAAATGAAACGAGAATTGGAATACCATTGTCACTAATGTTGTCTGCAACAAAGAATCCCTTGTTCTTCCCTCTCTCCACTGGAATCCCGCCCACCTCTCTACCCCCACTACACCCAACCCTCCCCACTCCCCCCCACTCTCCCCCTACTCTTCCCCCACTCTCCCACAATCTCTTCACCTTTCCCCGCCCCCAGGCCCCAGCGTCAACCACCCCACACTCCTACAATCCTTCCTTCTCAATGAAATTGCTACTAGTGTTTGCCAAGGATTTTTTTTTTCTTTTCTTTTTCTTTTCAATCTTGATCTGGAGCTGAGTGAGGGAACTGCAAAAGTTTCGAAGCAGAACTTAAGCTCAAACCATGCTTAAACCACCCACCACTACCCGGGAGGGGATCTTTTTCCCCAAAGTAGCGAGTACAGTAGCTCTGGATTTTCCTCTCTGAGACTGAGAACTGGTACCGTGGGCTCTCATGGGACCTGCGAGAAACCATTGTTTCCCGATGGTAGCTGGCCTCTCGCCGGTTCAGGTCTGGGGTTGGATAGTGGTGCTTCACACAGCTCATCCAGATGCGGGATCAAATTTTCACCATCCTTCAGCCTGCATCCACTTCCACTTCCTTGCAAATCACCACGGCTACGGTCGTCACCCAAATAGAACGCCTGGTCATTATAGCTGTATTTGGGGCAACTTTCAGTCTAGATGCAGCCATAATTACCCGGCGTTCTATTCAGGTGAAGACGGTAGGACATGGGGGCTTCTGGCAGCTTCAAGGAAAGATTTTGAAACTGCCACAAGCACGTGTTGGGTAGAGGACCATGCGGGTGGATGGTACTATGTGTGGGTGGATGCTACTCCATGAAGCTGCTAGCAGCTTCATAAGAAAGATTTTGAAGCTGCCAACCATCAAAGCAGGTGTTGTGAAGCACTACGTGGGTGGATCATACTATATGTGCTGGATGGTACTATGTGCACTGGGCTGGGTGGTACATGTGAAGCTGCCGGCAGCTTCAAAAGAAAGATTTTGAAGCTGGCAATTACCAAAGCAGGTCCAATGATGATGGTTGCCGGTTTCAAAATCATGTTTTTATTACTCTTTACGGTTTACCCCTTTTACGATCTTGTATCTTTTCAAGTTTTCATGCTTTTTTTCAATAATTTGTTGTGGATTTGTAGGGAGAAGCTGGTCCAGTGGAGATCAAAGATGTCCAAGGACTGCTTGATGTGTTGGTGTGATTTTGTATCGAACAAGCAAGCCCGAGAAGCAGATATGGAAGCCATTAAGTGGTATATCGCCAGCTGTCGTCTCCAAAGCGCATTCGACCATTGGCGTCGGGGCTCGCGGCGAAGAACGGAGGTTGCCAAGCTTGTAACAAACTGTCGAACTGCACGGAAAAGACGGCTTCTTGCGGAAATCTTCCATGCGTGGAAGACGTGGGCTCATCATCAACATGATACGAAAGCGAAGGAGGGAAAGGTAAGTGGCAAGTTGCGGAAAAGAATATATAAAGATGTTCTCCATGGATGGCAAGCAGTTGTTATTGATTCCAAGAAAACAAGGGAGAAAGAGAGGATGGCTCGCAAATGGCGTGAATCTTTGTGCCTATTGCGGTCGACAGTGGAATGGAGGAACTCTATCATGAATAGAGCTCGGAAGCGGCAAGCTATCGAAGGGTTTACTCGAACACGGGACTTAAAGAAGTTGAGGGAGTTGATGAAGGAGTGGAAAGCTGTTGCAGATTGTTCAAGGAGGAGAAGGGAGATAATCACACATGCTGTCACAAGGTGGACCAAGCATTTCCTTGCAGCTGCAATGTCAGGCTGGCGCACCAGTACTCTGTATCCCTTTTCGAAATCTCTTAGTCGGGCTTTTAAATTTTAATGTTTATGCCTTTTATACTCTTTAAATTCTTAATCCCATTTCACATTGTTTTCTCAAACTCTTCCTTTCATCCATGGTTGCTCCTGGCAGAACCCTGCCGACCGAGCTACGTCATCGCCTTGTATGCATCAGGTGCCGACTTATGAAAGGGACTGCAGTTATTATCCATAAAAAACTCTTTTTTCTTTTTTTCTTTTTCAGGGGCCATGCTAATCTTCTCTGTATCGTTCCAATTTTAACGGATGTCCCGAAGGACATCCATAAAAACTTTAAAAAGGACACAGGAGCAAATAATATTCCCATGGAAATAGCACTTGAGGGATTCCCAGAAGAAGCCGTTTTATAGCCAGCCAAAATTTCACCTTAAGTCTTTCGTATGAGTTTGATGTGATGACACCATGAAAGTTAAGGTAGAGGCACCTGTAGAGAAGTTTAGACCTTTTCCGCCTTTCTTATCCGACAAAGTTAAATGGACTGGCTGGGCTGGCCTGCATAAACAAGGCACATTATTGCAAACCAACTTTTGGCTGCCTGGAACCAGCAAAGGTGGCACATTTGAACCTTTGCCGCCCAGTATCGTCTAAAGGCTTTGCCTTTGTGATCTGGCACAGTGGGCAAGACTGGTTTGGTTGGTTTGCAGTTGCATGACGTACAATGTACATGTTATTTTAGGATGTTACTGGGTCTTGGCTTTTGAGTACCTGAACCCAGCCAAGGTGGTGCCTTTGGAACTTTTTTGACTGGGATTCATCCAAAGGTTTCACCTTTGTGAGCATCTGGCACAGTGGGCAAGACTGGTTTGGTTGGTTTCCAGTTGCATGACGTACAATGTACATGTTATTTTAGGATGTTACTGGGGCTTGGCTTTTGAGTACCTGAACCCAGCCAAGGTGGTGCCTTTGGAACTTTTTTGACTGGGATTCATCCAAAGGTTTCACCTTTGTGAGGATCAAGGGCAATAAACTGGATGACAATGTACTTTGGTGTTTGGCCTGACCCAACACTTTCGCTCTTCACCTTTGTGTCCTGACCATTATCGTTGTTGTTATAGGCCCAAGTCTCTCCTTACACATTATCATAATAATAAGAAGATTGTCTTTGTTATTGCATGGCTGGGCAAGCTCTGTGATAGGATGTCATCATCTTTAATGATTCTTCCACTTGCAATTGTAGAGTAGTTATACCTAGGAGTGGCTAGAGGAATAAGGTACCTCAGTGGAGCCTGAAGCTATTTTTAAACCGGATTGAAAGTTGTGCCAAAGTTGTTTGCTTTTTAAGCTGTAGCGGATCTTGAGCATGTCTGGACTTGTCTTCGTGCGAGTCTCTCCTTTTTTTATTTTTTTATGCACCAAGTCTCTCCTTCCACAATTGTTTGTGGACCTGGGGATGTCCTTTCATCGCTTGCTTGTGTCATCTTGTCTGTGAGGCTGCAACTAGAGAGCTTTTACAATTGAAGAAATGGAACACCAAAGTCTCTTTTTGTTTTCAAAGGCGTAACCCCTAGTGTTATTATTATATTCATCTATCTCCATCAGGATTTGAGCTTGTGAGCTGAGCTCTAACAGTTAGATATGTGTAGCATTGTGTACCTTTCCACCACATGCGTTGCGCTGCGTGAACATCAAATTCTCGTAGTTTTTCCTTTCTGTGCAGATATTTTGCTTCGTTCTTGACAGTAAATCAAGCCTTGAGTGATGTGCAAGGATGACACACAAATTGAGAAATGAACATTCAAATGCTGCATTAAACGACCACTGCCCCTGAAGCGCCTGAACCTATTTTAACAAACTGAAGTCCAAACTGCCATCCCTCGGTCACCAAGCCTCCTCTTTTTGCCTTTGTCCCATCAGGACAGTTCCTCCTAACACCCGTGTGAGTGGCGCTGTAGAACGACATTGTCAGCTGCACAAGAGGACGCAGCCTGGAGCAAGGGGGAGCAAAGAGGAAAACTGGATGAGAAAAAAGTAACTTCAAAGTAATGGAGTTGAGGCCCTTGAGGGGGGGGAAATGCTGAGGTCGGGGATTCAGGTGCCTCACATAGAGTTTCCATGAGCGAATGATGTCTCTAAAACGGGCAGGAACTTCATGGATGTTAGGTTTTTAATTGTTTTCTTTTGTTTTGTTTTGTTTTGTTTTGTTTTTTTGTGATGCACGTGTCTCAGGGCCTCTCCGCACTTGACAGGTGTGCAGATAAGGGGCTTGATCAACTACACAACACTCTAATGCCTTCAACATTTCTTTTTAATCTGGTCGACTTTTCGTGGCCTTCAACATCTCTTTTTGATCTGGTCGACGAATCATCCACATGCATGTGGAGTGTCGCATAGTGGAGCGAGGCCCTAAGTGAACTGCGCCACACTGGGACGCTTTCTGTGGCCCAGTACATTCAAAATGTTAGAGTCGTCGGTCGTAGCGGAGCGAGGCCAGTTGCTGTCTTCAGGTGTGCAAAGTCCAACTTTGGGTCTCGCTGCACTCGTCGATCGCAAAGAGATTAGAGGGGAGTAACAGTCAGTGGGCCTGGCATCATGTGTGCCCATGCCCTAATGGTTTCTGGTTGCACACAGGCCTATGACAAATAGCAAACACGAACATTCCTCTTCGTCGCTCGGCCATCATGTCCCACAGTTGGACTCGGTGCGACCAATCCCAGCAGTGGCGCGCAGAGGAATGACAACGCCCTTGGGAGAAGTTGGGACAGATTTCATTTTCCCACCACAACTGCTGCTGACCCTGGGGAAGAACTGCATGTCTCTTTGCTATTGCAGTGCGTTTTTTGGCAAGTTTTCGGAGGGCAGGGGCAGTGGTGGTTAAAGAGCAAGGAAAAGAAAGAGAGCCTCGGACAATCAGCCTTATGATGTAATCCCAAGGATTATTGAGGTCTGTATCTGGTCCGGATGGCATCCAGATCTCGGACCAGGTCTAGGTCCAACATAGTCATAATACCACCAACCTTTAGATTTGCCCACATGGACCCCCGGACATAGCCCTGAGGGATTTGGCCCCTTACCTTGCCAATCAGAATCAGGGTTCAAGAACCGTAGGTGTGTACCACTCACCCACTGGCCAGCTGCAGTAACCGGCGATCTTTCTTCATTTTCTTTGTGATTGCGAATGCAAGTGACAGTTTGTTGGTGTCTTCCTTGACTGGATACCATACCTTTTTCTTTTTGTTTCCTTCAATCAGGATGCAAAAGTGGACGAGGCACACAATGATGAAAGCGGTAGCGTTCTTCTCAAAAAGGCGAGGGCGAAAACGCAAGCTTCTGGCCGCAACACCAATCCCTCCCGAAAGCGTCTTACCTCCTCCCCACCCCCATTTCCCCCTTGAAAAGCACATTGATTCATTATTTTAGAATTCTAGGTGACATTGTCAGAGGCATAAAATTAAAAAACCCTTGCCATAAAGAACTGCATTGATTGAATTTGATTCATCATTCATCAACATGAGAAAAAACAATGTATGGAATCTTTTTTTTTTTTTGTTCTTCAGAAAAACGGCATTGATTCATCATTCACTAACATAAGCAAGATGCAAGGATAATGAGCGGGTAGTCGAATACCAAGAAGAGAGCACAATGCACCAAGATACCATTCCAATAAGAGCAATACAATGAACTCTGATGTCAATGTCGCCACACTCTGGACACACCAACATAGTATCCACTGTCCCTCCTACTGTGTGGCGCCTGGTGCCCAGCCTACTCTACTCAGCCTATCTAGCCTATCTAGCCGATCTACGTTCTTGCAGCCAGATCACATCGCTGTTGAAGACCAATGTACGTTGACGTCATCTCCAATGCCGACCGCCAGCATACACCAGGTACGTGCTCTCTGTCCTCCCCTCAACACCTCGTCTCCCCTCTTCTGCATGCGCCTCCTACCCGAAGACCACCATCACCACCTCTGCGCTCCCGCACGCTCGGGCCGGCTATGGCCGCCGTGCACCCACTGCCACCACAGTGCCCTCACCACTTAGCGCCCGTGCGTGCCCCAGCCTGCCCACATAGCGCAGCTTCGGAGTGCAATGCAGCAGTGTGGCCGCAATGCCTGCACAGGCCAGAATGCATCTCCCAGGGGCTCACAGTTTCCTTTATGGAAAGTGTGCCGCTGCTGGCTGTCCTGGCGAGGCGTGTGGGGGCCCAGTAGCTTCGTTGGGCCCCAGGTCTCTGCGCCCAGGCCCAGTTTCCGAAACAGGACTGGGCCTCGTGCAGTTAGGCACGTCCAGGCAGCCACCCAGCCTCCAAATGTTTGCAGCATTTTCATTGGCTCGCGGCATATGTGTGACGACAATGCTGCTTCCTCATCGGCCCGTAACCAGTCCGTGATGTGTCGGCCTCACACAGCGTGTGCCCAGGGCGCAACTGCCTGAGCCCTGCGCTCAACTGTACAGCGCAGCCCTCTGCTTCTGGAAAGAGCCTGGAGATCCACATTGCTCTGTAACGAACTGGCATGCTGCAGCTGTCTGAGTACCCACATATGGAACAGTTGTCGAAACAGGCCTCACGTGGATATTCAGGCCCGCCTTCACTTAGGGCGGGCACGAGGCTTGCCGGGGCCCTCAGCCAAGAACACTTTGTATGTCTAATAAGGGCTCCACGAGGTTCATTCCTCGCAAAGACTAATAAATAGTAAGAATTTAGAATAACAAGTCACCAGGTGCGCCGCGACCCCTGGCCGCGGCTGACGACCGTGGTCAAGAGTTCTTTGTCTGTGTCGTCTCGGGAACTGGCCAGCAATCCCAGAATCAACAATGGGCACAATTTGGCCCTTCCTCCAGCCAGGCGGAATGTGGGCTGAGTGGCAATATATAGCCTGGGTGACATTATGCAGGTCGGGTCAGATCATATGGGGCAGGTCACGTCATGGCATTATGTAGCCTGGGTGACAGTATGCAGGTCGGGTGATATCATATGGGGCGGGTCACACCAGGTGGACAGGGCAGGATGATGCTGGATGTCCGTCGAGCGACGCTATGCATGGCGGCTCGTACTATGTGGGGCTGGGTGGTAACGCGTGGGCAGGGCGGTATTATGTGCCGTGG